TTAGTGGCCTTCTCGGATAGATTTAGCAAGAATCTTTAATAATAACACGAGACAGATTACATGTCGAGGTCAAGTCTGAGGGAAAAAAAAAAAAAAAAAAAAAAAAAAAAAAAGAAAATGCATGGAAATTTGGAGGCTGGAGCCTGCGTTGAAGTAACCTTGGTCTGGGACTGAGGCTGCGAGCTCATGGGTGGCGTGCAGGACGCAGAAGCAACAACGAAAAATTGACACACATTTGCATAAAATTGCTCAAGTAAAGATTAAGCCAATTTACCGTGTAGTAAAAATATTTTTTAGTCAAAATAATTGAACGATTTATTTATTTTTTTTGTCAATCCTTAAGGCACGCTTTGGCCCTCAGTGCTGACCAGCCCACCCAGTGAGAGTCAGCCTCAGCCCCACACTCCACAATAGACTGGAAACCAACAAAACAAGCTTAACGCTCCTCAGACAAGGCCACAGATCATTTACAGTCACTTTAACCTTCTCAGATAACACACTGAAGTCACTCAGCTCAACAGGCCAAAAACAGTCTTTAAGGAAAAGGGAGTATTGGTAGGCATTAATTAATAATCAGCAGAATAAACATAGAAATGTGGCTGTCTGTGTCGCCTTAAACAGGTTTGGAACAAGTTAAACATTTCAAGTTTTTTTTTTCTTTTTTCTTTTTGTTCTTCAAAAAAGCTTTACTGCTCATCTTAAAGTTGTACTTTATGATTTTGTAATCTTAAAAAGAAAAATCCTGCTTCCATCTGAGAACCTCTCATCAAAAGCCTTCAGATCAAGGAATAAAAATCTAAAATCGGTAGCTTAAAATATCCAGTGATGAGAATGAAACCCATTGTTTTTTTCTGCTTTGGTTGCGTTGCTCCTGGAAGTCCGTATATTTCTCAACATACTGTACATGATTATATTTTTAAGGAGGGTTTGAATGGACTCTTTGAGAGACCATTGAGTATCGACCACTCTGCTCTGTGCTCTTAGACACTCGCAGGCCTTTGAGGTCTCGGGTCCTTCTCCCTATAAGCAGGACAAGGACGTTTTACATTAGTGCAAACTTTTGCTCTCTCAGCTAAAGCACCCTTTCCAGTGCTATTTTAGGCTTTTTATCCATAACCCCCACCCACAAGCACCCTTTTTTTTTTTTTTTTTTTTTTTTGTTACCCTACCCTTCTGGCACAGCATCCCGAAACCATGACCCTTACCCCAAAACACACACATACATACCGCCATGTAAAAATATTTAGAAAAAAAAAACAGCTGTAGCACAACACATAATTTTAAGAAAAATAAACAGACAGAACAAGCTATACATCCTTAAACTTTTGATTCATTTTTTTTTCTTTACACAAACATACAAAGAATGAGAGGAAGTGAATTCAAGGAAAACGATCTGAAAGATGATGAGCATCCATGGCTTAGTCAGGGAGATCCAGACTGAATAAAATCACACTTATTATCTCGAGTCTGCATTTGACTAAGATGGACGGCAAAAAAAACGAAAAAGAAAAAAGAGCTTTGGTCAATCAACAAAATCTACCATAGAGGTCCAATTAAGATGGCTCACAAAATAAAAAAAAAACCTGCCACGTTAAGACACAGAGGGCTTAAGCAGTCCATTCCAAGTACCACGACGAATAACTACATCCAGCTTACAATGGTTTAAAATCGGGAGCGCTGCTGTACAATCACTAACACCCCTGTTAAATGCGTCAAAGAAGAAGAAGGGAAAAAAAAGGAACTTAAGACTTTCACAACTCCTGCCTGACGGCGACCAACAAGAGTAAACAAGTGCTATGAAAACCTGCGCACAGAGAGCCGTGGGATAAACAAGCTGCTGTCCGACGTGTTGCTTAGCAGTGTAACGTTCCTGCTTCTGTGCTACCGTGGCCTCGTCCCCGCCGCGCGGATCCAAACAGCAGCACGTGTAGGTTTGAGAACAGATGGGGGTCGATGCAAAGGCTTGTTTATAACAGTTATCCTGAGACCCTCCAGCCCGCCTGCCAGCTTGTGCGTGTGCACACACACTCGCAATAAAGGATGGACACGCAGACACACACACAAAGTGCCCTTTCTTCTGCCTCCATANTTCATANTAAGACNTAGAAAGACAATGACTGACAGCGAACTTCAAGTGCATTCAGTTATATGGGATAGTCTTTTGGATCACAAAACCTCACCAGACCCCAGCTCAGCGTCTCCTGTGGGAACTAAACTCTCATATCTCATCTGTCAAGTTCACCACGACGGACAGAACAGAGGGACTCGTCTCATTTGTTTCAAAGTACCCGTTTTTGTTGACAAAAGTGCCCACTCGCCCCGCGACCAGCCTCAATCCAAGAAAGGTGCAACATGAAGCAGTTGTACAGAATATCCAAACAGTAAGAACACCCTCTTCCGGTTTTGTGTTTTAGACTTTTCGTGTCTTTAAATAAGTTAAGAACAATCTTAGATGAACAACAGGTCATGAGATTTTACAGTGTATCAAAAAGTGTGTGAAAGCAATTAGAGGTGTGACATCTGATTAAGTGGCCCCAAGCGACATGATCTAAAAAGTTCACTTGGTCTGGACCATTACGACGATTTTAACACCAATAAAAGATGCCGCTGTGGCTGCCCCTTTATTTGGGAACGTGTTAAAAGGTTTTCTTACAACGGGAATAATCAAAAATACTCAAAACAATTAACCGTTTTCTCAAAAGTGGAAATTCCGGCGAGTTGACGTGGACGACAGGTTTAATAAAAACGGAAAAAAAATAGCAGAAGACCACTAAAACATCAGCCCAATTAGAAAAAGGCTGATTAAGCGTGGCTTGTTTTTAAGGGTTGTCGGCATAAATCCTCTTTAAAAGCAACACGGCACTATGGCTTAGCTTTCCCAAGTTGCATCTGAACGAACCACGAGACTTCTGGACCAAATCTCGTTCTGAGAGACGAGACCAACGCGACGGTTTTTGGACAGTACAAACTAAACACAACGGTTAAGCACGGCGGTGGGTGGCTCATGATTTTGGCTCATTTTTGCATAAACTGACTCCCAGCACACCAGGAATGATGACAGAATCAAGGTGCTAAACTACAAACAATTTTTAAAGGTGCACAAAATCAAATGGTTCTGCTAAAAGTGTTCACTGTTTCAAATAGTTCAAACAGCGCAACATCTCCCATGGTATTGTTCATCTCAGGCTGTAAGATTCGGCAAGGACCAAATAATATCGAGAACAGTAGAAGTGAAAGAGGGTTTGTTTTTTTTTTTTTTTTTTTCTTTTTTTTTTTTCTTGCTCAGACTGTGTAAAGTGGGCGAGGGATCACGTGGAATCTGAACGTGCATCTTTTAACCCAAGCGAAATCACCAAAGCCTCGCGGTTACTGACGACATTAGAGCGGACAGCGTGAGCCGCGGCGTTCCCCTCCTCTCTGCGGGACACCTGGACCCGGTGCGCGAACGACACGGAGAAAGTGCAGCGGCGCTGGCAGCTCAGGGTGCATGTTTGAACAGGCTGCGGCTGACTCACACTCTGATGATGTGGCCAGAGGGACCCTGGCTGGCTGCCACACACACACACACGCACACACACACACACACGCACGCACACATTTAAAACACATGTACATGTAAACACGCTCGTACAGTAAACTACCAGCACCAGGCGTCCAGGCTCTAATATAATAAGAATAACAATAATAATATCTCCTCCAGGCTGGTTTAGGGGCATTAGAGGAGAGGCAGAGAGAGGCCCGGTCTGATCCCCTCCCGGGCTGGAAACGTGGCTGAGCTGGGGGAGATTATTTTTTTGGAATGCAACAGACATTGTGAGATCCCCCTCCACTCCGCTCCTCTTCCCTTGCTCCCCTCCCCCACCGCCCAGCTGCAGCTGCGCTCCTATTTGGCCTCCCAACTGGACAGGTATTTATTGCTCTCTTCATCACGCAGGTTGCCTTATGGTTGTGTGGTCCCTGGGGCAAAAAGGACTGGAATAAGCATGATACATACATCTAATCTCACTCTCTCTCCCTCCCCCCCAACAACAACAACCCAGATTCCTTTAAATATCTCCCACTCTGTTGGATATCTTTAGTAAAGCTGTGCAAACGTAGAAAAAAAAAAAAAAAAAATATATATATATATATATATATAAAAATATATATATATATATATATATATATAAGGTGCTCACATATGTCTTCTTCGTACTCTTTGTCTCTCTTGCTCCCTGCCATTCCTTTAACCTGCGGTCGGTTAAGTGCTACCCGCGCCTTGTCGCACAAGGACAGACTCCGAAAAAACTGCACAAAGTTAAGCACATTCATTCATTTGTTCAATCATTCATTCATCGCTCTAATCCTCTGGGCAGGAACTGTACATGTCAAGTTTTACGTTTAGGACAATTAGGTGACTTAATGTTGTTGTTTTGCTTTTTTTTGTTTGTTTGTTTGTTTTCTTTTTTTTGTGTGTGTGTGTTTGCCATTGAACATTCACACAGCTTCGTTTCTTTCACCCAAAAGCTTCAACTGTGTCTGAAAAATATAACATCGAGCCTAAAAAGGGAAAAATAAAAATAAAAAAATCGGTAAGTACAGCTCAGCAAGAGGGAGCCAACCTCATATCTCTGCCTGCTATATACACACGTATACAATTATAAAGTGTCGAGTACCCAAAAGAACAACAACAACAACAAAAAAACAGAATTAAGACAATCAAACATCAAAAGGGCAAAGGAAACGCTGATGTTGCAGGGCTGTGAGGGACAAGAGGCAATGTAGTAAAGCCAACAGATACGTTGAGAACGGTAGTGCTTGGAAAACACAGACCCTCCACCCCTCGCACTTCCCTCGTCCTGCAAGCGGCAAGCCCCCCTATTAAAGTGGATTTGACTCAAGTTGAACTTTTCAATAAGACAAACCACCGATTACAAAAAAAACAAAACAAACATCTCTTTTTTTTTTTTTTCTTTTAGAGTAAGTAACACTTCAATCAACCCCTCGCCTGATTCTTTCTGGAACATTTATAGACTGAAAAATATAAAGAATCTTGCATCAAAATGTTGGTGAGTTTTCCTTGCATATACCATATTGTGGAAATTTTGTTTCTATGGTAACTGTACATCTCAGAGCTGTAAAAGAATAGGAAGAAAAAAAAAAGGAGTTGTTGCTGGGAGGATTTGTCCTCGCTTCACTCGTACAGCAGCCAGAAGGTGCGTGACAGTCACCTTTCTTAGAGCTTGAAGGCTGTGAGGACGAAACCGATAAAAATTTAAATCAACTGCATAGTTGCTCGGAGTTTCTTTGTCTCGATCATATACTTGCCTAACTGCATATGCCGGTGTAAAAAAAAACAAGACGAAAGAAAAAACTGTCTAATATGGCAGAGAAAGAAATGGTCCAGAAAGTGGACATCTTGGGTGGATGATTTGAAGCGTTCTTTTCTCTTTAACAAATAAAACAACTGAAGTGCTTGCAAGTCTATTTCATGTCCTAAAGTAAAAGGAGAAAGAAATATAAAGATTCAATTTCTGTGACACCCTGATTTGGTTTATAGAGGAATAGTTAGTTGTTTTTGTCTTTTTAAATTGCCTTTGCATGTTTATGCTCTCCTCTGTCCACTGGCCTGTCTCACAGGCTGTGCAGAGCGACTTGTGGCGTCCAGCAGTGTCCTTGTGGTCCCCTCCCCGCGTCCCCCCCCTCTTGCAGTCTCAGGGTCCCGCCTCCACTGCTAGCTCCTGCAGCCGAGGACTGTGTGTGTGCACCTCGACAGCACCCTCCACCTCCACTACAGACGACGCCTCGGAGCGCCGCCGGCCCCTGGCGGTGCGTGGCTGGGGCCCAGTTTCGGGGCTGGGGCTCAGGAGGCTCGGCGGGGCCTCCAGGAGCCCCGGCTCTCTCACCCGAGGTTTTCTGCCCCGGCGGGAGGGGATGCCGTTGCAGCCGTCCTTCTTAAGGTGGCGGTGCAGGTGGTCCGAGCGCACAAAAGTCTTAAAGCAGCTTGTGCACTGGTAGGGGCGGAGACCGGTGTGGACACGCATGTGGTTCTTCAGGTCGTAGTTGTGAGCGAAGGCGGCTCCACATTGTGTACACAGGTAAGGCTTCTCTCCTGTATGCTTTCGCATGTGAACCTTGAGCTTGTCCTGCCTGAGAGGGGAGAAAGATAAACACGGCTTAAGAACACACAAAGGAAACATCTAACTCTCAAAACAAACGGCTCACTTTTGTCTGGATGCGCTCCGTCGCCGGTGCCAGCTTCACTAATTAGGCTGCGCGCAAATATGTAATTATCTTTAAATTTATTAAAGAGTTTCACACTTGCAGGAATCAGCTTAATGCGCTTTAGATGATTTCATTCTGCTTTAATTGTCGCGTCTTGGCTCTCCTCCCGGTCTATGAGGGTTGTAAGTCCAGCTGAGGGGAGGTCATAAACTTCACATTTTTATCTGTGTGACGGCACACAAGAGCGCGATTGCACACTGACACGAAGGCTCAGTGTTCACTGTGTCAGCTGGCATTTTTTATTGCTCCTGTTAACCCTAATTTGTGGTCACACCAACAGGAAGATCTGCGTGGAGAATTTAGCGTCCTCTGCGAATCTGTTCCAGGGGAAACCGTATTGTTTACGATGTTGCAGATTTGAATACAACAAACTACAGGACTGGGGCTGGGAAAAAGAAGCTTAGTGAATCCCCATGAGGCCTTTTGTAATTACATTTTGTGCAAGTGAGGAGTCATCCTAACTAAATAACCGAAGTCCAGCTACTTATATCATAACTGAGGACTTCTATACTAAATCATATCAAAACAAAACTTCATTTTTCACAGAGGTGCTCCAAGGTATTGATCAGAATTCGTTGCTTTTCAGCCTCGCAGGTGACAAACTGAAAAATTTGAGAAAGAACACAGTTACCTTTTTTTTGTGCGCTCACAAATA